TCTATGAACAGCGTCCATTAGCGGTAAGTTGACGAAGTAGAGCACGGGTGCCTTTGGGGGAGGGGGGGGGGGTGTTTGAGCGGGAGAACTGACCCAGACATGTCCGAGGAAGGAATGTGCGTGTCGTTGTGCGTGCGGTGTCGTGATCGGGCTAGTGCACATGTGACATTTTTTGGGCTTGATGTGACGTGTGAAGTGTGATTTTGTGAGTGAGAGAGGTGTCGAGTACAATCGTGGTGATACACAGATCGTGAATGACACTTTCTGGCTGCGGACTTCGTAATTTGGAGCCGTGATTCGTGAGCGTAGCCAGTGAGTTGTCGAGCTGTCAAAGAGTGAGTTAGTGAGTTCAGTAAGAGGTTAACCCTATTCCTGGCGGGGGGGGGGCTCAGGAGCCCCCCCTGAGGTTTTTTGGTTATTTCTCCCAAACGCGTTGAGCTAGGAAGCTCAAATTTTCTGACTTTTCCTAAAAGGCTTCTACGCAACATGTCTGAAAATTTTGAGTTGATCTGACCTCAGGTCAGGTCACCAGAGGCGGTTTGGTGACCCTACCTCAGAAAAGTTTGCAATCACGCCAGAGCTAGAGTTTTTGACCGATCAATTTTTTCTCTTCAGGCTTTAGTTAGGGTACCAGTATGTGCAATTTGTATATCTCGGAATTTTGATATCGGTGACCTAAGGTCAGGTCAGTTTCGCGACCTCCCCATTATAAGTCAATGGGGGAAAAATCAACTCCCTGTTTTTACCACTAAAACGGGTCGGAATGGCCCCATATACCATACACGACTTCATATACGATCAACCTTCACTACCTTGAGGTCTGTTTTGCTGTTGGGCAGCTGTGAGGTCATGTGACGTCATCAAAGGTCACCAAAGGTTTTTGGCCAATAACTCCGTACAGGAACAAGATACAGACGCGTGGATGGTCTCATTGTGTTCAGCTCGTCAAGACGCATCGAATGATATACATGATGACCTCGAGGTCACGTGACCTGAGGTCAACCTTTGACCTTGACCTTGCGAGGTCAACATATATATCATTCGATGCGGATTGACGAGAGGATCACGATGATGCCCTTAGTTTGTTCCTATCTTGACTAATTCGAAAGTTATTCGAGAAAAACTCTCTCCATATCTAGCGCCGCCCTTTTGACTTTTTCGACCCCTGTGACGTCATCTTTGACCTGACCTGAAAATGACCTTAGTAAAAATTGTAGATCTTGACCGTGCGTATCCGATGCCGTTTACCGTTTGTCACTGCGATGTGTAGTTTTTGAGATCTGAAGGGGGGGGCCGAATCGGCCCCCCCCCCGCCAGTTTCTTGTCCCGGCGGAGCCCGCCAGGAATAGGGTTAAGTGGGGCGTTTGATGTGAGTGTTGACATTTGTCTTCTGGGAGAACTTCAGAGAAGGATCCCGACCGACGAGACTGCACGCCTCAGAACTGCACTACGAGGAGCTTCGGATCACGACTGGTCAGTCCGCTCCCCCGACTGGTGGAGCGGTTATTCAGTTTCAATCGTGAGCTTAAAGGTAGATCGAATGGTTGATCCAGATGGGGTACGCTTGATTTGTCAAAATTGATTGGTTTGCATAGACGCGGGAACCGGAGGGGGCTGGGAGGGGGGGCAATGGGGGCAGCGTGCCCCCCCCCCACTCTGGGTCTGTGGGGCACGGTTCGTCGGAAGGCCATTTCATCCACAAAAGAAACGAGTTATACCATTCGAAAGCAGACGTTGAGCTGATTCCAAAAATGTATTTTTTGTTGAAATCGTTCGATGGCCTTTTTAAAAATTGCGTTTTTGTAAAAACGTACCTACCTACCTAATTATTTTTAATTTAATTCAACGAGCTGTCCAGGACATTCTTGACATCATAGGCATGTTTTTCCGTTTTTCAGTGAAAGCTGAATGCCAATAGAACAATATGCAGCGAAAAATATTATCAACTATTAATATGCGTCTCTCCAAGCCGGCAACAAAGCGCAATCACACAACTCAGTGTCACGATGGATCAAAGTAAGCCACACAAAAGCGTGAAATGACCCTTATCAAGTCGCCTTTATCTGTTCACAAGTCAATTTCACAAGTCAATGCAGTTTCACGACCCCATAATCCCAAGTAGCTACTTAGGTACTATTGGAGGACCGTGTCACTATCTATCTACCTGCGGTACGAAAATCATTAAAATTGCCATCGGTGAAAAGGACGAGGCCGAGGGCAAGATTGGGTGGTCAGTCCGGTCAGTCTGTGGACCGAGACAGTCCTAAGAGTCTGTCTGAGTGGCTCACAAATAAAAACGGCCCGCTCCCGAAGCGACCGCCGTTATACCGCGCTGTGAAAGCGATCACACCCCGGCCCTGTGCTGAGATTCGGCGCGTGATAGCCCACTGCGTGCCGGAGGACCGGTGGGGATGGGCCGCGCCGGGCCGGGCCGGAGGTGGCCCGCACACAGACGGAAATGCCAGCCGCTCGGCACGCCGCGGCGGCAGCGCGCGGTAAAGGAGGCAGGTGTCTTCTCCAGATCGGCAATCGAGGACAAATTATCCGGTGACGGCCAATTTCCACGGGGCCCGGGCGGCGCGGGCGGGCGGCTCTCCTTTCTAGTTCAAACAGCCGGTCGGTCGGCGTGTTGTGAGCGCGCGGCGGCACACGTGGTGACGATTTTCGGGGCGGCACGTCGTCAGTTAGAGGGTGTTTTACGGCTCCCTGGGTGGCACGTGAATAAATACGGGACGGCCTGCGAGCCATTGGACCGCCGGGTGGGGCGGCGGCATTGTGTGATAACAGGAGAGGCGGCTGTTAGGGCCGTTCAATGAGTTAACTAATTGGTGACCGGCTGAGTGTTTTGTATGACGATGTAATTGAGTCGTAATATAGGGCGATTATGGAAGTGCCGAAGGGTATTCAATGCATACCGGAACATCACATGGTTGGAGCACGTTTAGAGCCGATATAGCTGAATATATTAGCTCGACATCCTGATACCTTTCGAAATGCGTACCTAATCATCACACGCTTCGAAATGGTTTAACCCGGAAGTTGCTGGGGTATTTCGCCACCCACCGTTTGCTGGGGGGGGGGGGGGCGTTAAACGCCCCCAGCCGATAACTCGAGAGCCAATAGGCGCAGCGAAACGCACGAGGCGGCAAACGAAAGAACGCGACGAGACGCTTCAGATGAGTACTTTTAAGTTGAATTTTGAGGTCACAGGTCGGGTCAAGGTCAGGTCAAACACCTGAAATCGGGCTTTCAGTAGCATGGACTTCAGGGCTTCGCAATGGGCGCCTCTCGTCATAAACTCCGTCAAAACGGTGCACAATCCATCATGTAAGGCCTACAAGAGTGTCAGCTCCATGTAGGGGTCAGTCAAGCATAGGTCAGGGTCAAGGTCAGGTCAACCGGGTAGGCACATATCCCGGAAAATCAAAACTGATATTCGCAGCCTTTGACACATGTTTTATGGGTGATTTGGAGCGTAGAACACGATGGTGACATTCATATATGTGTACGTGGTTGGCTCAAAAAGTTCAATTTACGAAATTAATGTATCATGGTCGTGAAGTAGTCACGAGAAATTGCCAAGATTCAGTTCAAGATTTTGGAGATTGCGGAACGATAATCAATAATCGGAGATAGCCATTTGATTGTTCATGGTATTGGCAGTCTAATGGCGTTTACGGCATGTCTATATGTCTATTCTGTGAATTTATATGATTTTTTAAACATATGCCGTTTTTGGTCGAAAACTCAGAAATAATGACGTCACTAAAACCTCGATATGTCAAAATTTTTCCGACCGATTTTTTAGAAACTTTGTCATAATAAACTTCAATCAATTCCCTACAGGTACGCGCGCCGTTTTTATGCTATGGCCCGGCGAAAAAAGTGGGTGCGTTTAAAGGTAGTGTGCCACCTTTGAAAGATTTCCCATTTTATTTTTCCTAGGATAAGAAGCTTCTGTTTTTACCTAATATCGCAAAAAAAATCAAAAATGGGCCTGGAATAGTGCCTTTTTCGCCTAAAAGTTTTTCGGTTTTTAGATATGTATAACAACTGTAGTGGGCTCACCTGCAAACAGGCGTCGGGCAACAAACGCGAATGCGGCGCACTTGTGACAATAAGCAAAGGTCATTATAGTGTTACGACCATACGACGTACGGGAATGAGTTATCAGCTGTCTAATCGTAGACAACACAATGTCGAGCCTTTAACTGTAAGCCCGTATTGGTATTGTTTCTTTTATTTGGCTGTCGAACATTATTTATGGTTTGAAATATGATTTTATGTAAAATAATTGATATGAAAAAGCCGTCTTATAAGTTATGACCCCATTTCACCACACGCAAGTGGCAGAAATGACAATGATCAGCTGACGCATTTTTCTTGGCCGAAGTCAGAGCGCGCGGCCCGACGCACCACGCGTATTGGGAAATTCCGACCTCGACGAGCATCAGAAGCCACCTAACAGGCGTGTTCGAAACCGCAGGAGATGATGATGAACGGGTTTATCGAAACTTGATTGGATGAGCATATCGGTAATAGCGATTTCAGTGTGTGCATTTATTGTTCATAGTGGTGTGAAATGTGGTTGGGGTACGACCGACAACCCGTCGGGGCGAATTTCGCACTGGGGTACTCAAAATTTGAAGAATTTAAGACGTTTCCATGAGTTTTGAAGGTATGGATAAGTTCTAAAAATCCGGTTCTCCTTATCTGGGCCATTAACTCCATACGGTCCAAGAAAGCTGGCACACTACCTTTAACGCCCCCCCCCCCCCCCCCCAGCAACTCGCGGGTTAAAAGCCGAACAATAAGCTCTCTTAGCAACACATTTAAACTTACTTCATGTGAAGCATTAATCTTAAATATTTTTCAGAATCTATTTTCAACATCTGTTTACCATGTGACGTGATATTTTTGTCACTGATTGTAGCTATTGATTACGCATGGTGTTTCTCCATACGACACGGCATCTTGGTGAAACGTTTCTACACACTTGCACTTGGACGTTGAGCATATATTGCACACTCCATGGACAATGGACAACGACACACCCCCGGCGCTTATTCCAATGTATGGCTAGGCTATGAATAAAATACATGGCATGCAACTAAAACAACTGCAATGCTATGCAAAAACACTATGGTCCTACAAAAAATATTGCCACAAAAACTGACTAAATGCCATCCTAGTTGTAAAAAAGTTCCATTTGTGACTAGAATCAACTACGAAACTCGCAAAAACGATTCTAAATCACACAAATAAACCTTCCTGTAAGTGCACACAGTGCAGCATTCTCCCTGAATACAAAACCAAACACCACACCAAAGCACACAAGACGGCCGAATCTACTATCTAACTAGGTTTAACGGTATACCGAATTCATCAAATGGCTATGAAAGCACATCAAACGCTTTTGCGTAAAACGAATCTAAATCACACAGTGGCAGGAGCTCGCTCGCTAAGGTCGTTCGAGTGATAACACACGACTGCAAAATAATCGCACTGTATACATGAATCGACGCCCTTCAATATGCCTCGAAAACGGATATCTGTACGACAAAACGGCTATCAGATCAGTGCACATGACAACACCATCAAAAAACGCCATGTTAACCGCAGCGGCAGCGGATACATGTGGAAGTCGCATGTCGAATACTGGGACTGTGGGGGCCCGATAGTGGCCGCGGCAGGAAGCGGACAGAGCTGGTGACGTCAACTGGTGACCCTGACGTCAGCTGGGGCACGTCACCAACTCCAGCCGTCACTGGGCTGATGGTTTATCGAGCGCAGACGTCTCGTGCTCTGCGGTCTGCGGCGCCGCCAGCCGCCGGAGCCGGCGGGCGGTGGCGGATATCGGACAGGATACAACCGATCCGGGACCGGCGACCGGCCGGCGCGGAACAACCAGGCGTAAAGATCGAATCGATTCGGGGTCGCCGAATTTAGCGGACATGCAAAGAGCTATTATTACATATACGATCATAAAACAAGTTTGGTGAACAGCAATTACGCTTCTTCCATCGTGGGAACGACTGAAAGTGGATATAATACACCCGCAACTACACCGTTTTCACAAAGCTCGTTCGGTGGCAATGCTGGCTAGCTGAATATTACGACGATGACTTGTGAATGAACACCAATATCGACGAGAAACTGCGCATAGTTCTGCAATGGCACTGTTACAGTATCACCACATCGTAAGACGCTCCCTTCTCTAGCACAGACAGATTACATATCGGTCAAGATCACAACGGAACCTGCGAGGGAGCTAAGTAATCCCACCACTGAGATGGTAGCCGACTATTGTCCGTTTTCTTTTTCAGGAGATTTCTGCGAGCGGAAACCGAAAACACAGCCGCTGGGATCTGATAGCGGCTTCAACACGACTTATCGTGTCTTTGGGAAAACACCGACCGAAACTCGCTAAAACGGGCTGAGATGAGACAATTGTGGAGTCACGCTTTACGTCACTCTAAGCTGCTTAGGGCCAGAAGACGCAGTGAGAGTAGATCTGAACAAGTTCCGGCGGCATTTTCATATTTCAACAGGGCCACAAGTGGAGGTCTGGCTTCATGCAGAGTGTTTTATTTTTTGCTGTCTGATTCTTTTCTCTTACTTTGCTATTCAATGCGTTTTTTTATTTTTGATACAATTCATAAAAAAGTGTTAATGATTTGAATGATAATTTCAGAGGTCAAGACCACACATTAAGTAGTTTTATAGGTAGCAGCACGAGGCAAATGAGGCGTTCCAAACCAGGTTCGAGCCCAGGTCTACCTTCTAAACGAAACAGTCTTTGAGAGCGGTAAGCACCGAAAAAGTGAAATGTTTACCAAGCAATTAGAAAGTACCTCAGCTGTATCCTCGAAACATGAGACCATAATCTCAAACCTAATCTCATTCAGTTTTTACCGTCATGTTGTTTGTGGTGTTGATGATATAACCGCCGCACTCCCTGCTAACCAATACGGAGAGCACGGCGGACAGTCCCCTGATCCCTGTGAACTCGTGACTAGACGGCTCTGGGTACCTCTCGGCGACATCTACAGCTGTTCTGTACACAATACACCTGTCCAGTGTCCACATCAGACTTTCCATCACAAACTCTTTTGACACAAGTTTTGACTGAAACTAGTTCTTTCGTGACGTACTTCCAAACACCCTCCTCATGCCTCTCCCGAGCGTCGTTCTCACGCAGCGGGCGTCAGTGACGTCACTGGAGGCTGCTGATGACGTCAGCGGTGTCTAGACGAACATGGAGCGGTACTCGTGGGGCAGGGCGCCGCGCCGCGGGAAGAACACGTGCGAGGGGTGGAGGTCGAGCAGGTTGGAGATGCTCGACGTATACAGGTCGCAGAAGTGGAAGAGCCGGCGGGAGAAGTAGCTGGGGTTGTGGTGCGTGCGGAACAGGCTGCCGAACTGGTGGTTGAAGATGGTCTTGGTGTACAGCCTGAGGGGGAGAACGTGCAGCGAGTTGGTGGAGGTTGCGACCGAAAGCAGGCATCCATAGTCTTCTTGGCGAAACAGTGAAAAATGCAGACATGAAATATCACACCCGACTGTATGGAATGAACTGGCAGTAAAATGATGCTGACCCCGCATCGTTCCTCAGAAACTCGATGCTACTAAACTTTAAGCACACCTCAGCAATTTCGACACGCCCCATAAAAAGCAGGATGTCATACATTTTTCAAAGTGCACGTCTGAGTTCCTCAGTCTTTCAGCACCATAACGATTCAATACCAACCAACCGACCACAGCCCTGACCTCGGCGACCAACTAGCCTCGCTATAAAGACATAATGAACATCAAATGGCCCTGGACACAAATAGCGCCAACAGCAGGCATTTCCGGTGCAGCGAGCTCCCGATCCCAACTCTCACGCACTATCCTCGCACTACCTGTGCTGCCCCCTGTCCTGAATATCAAGCGCCCCATTCTACCCACCCACAGCCTGGTGATTGGAGTCTATCTATCGTGCTCAGGCTCGAGAAGAGGAATTCTCCACGGCAAGGAAACTTCTCTTGTTTATAGACGATATGAACTCCTCATATTTCGCTTAGTCATATCATCGTTGCCGCCGCTTGTCAACTCTTCACTATTACAGCAGTCAAGCCGTTCTGATTAGCTCCCACCCTGATTAGGAACCGGCCCCCCAACCCGATAAGAGTGAACCCCTCCCAGCTACCTCTTAACCTCACCAGTAGTCAGTCCCACCCACTGACTTCCCTTCCTCTTTTGACCCCTCGGCACCTTCCCTGTCCGTCTCTCGGCACATCCCCTGCCCGTCTCTCGGCACATCCCCTGCCCGTCTCTCACCTGAGTTGATCACGCTCGGCCTCCCACCGCTCGAGCACGGCCCGGTTCTCGGGTCGGCGCAGCTCGTTCTGTTCGCCCTCGATCAGCTGCTGTAGCTGTTGCAGCCAGTTGCTGTTCTCCTTGTACTCCGGACGGTTCAGGATGCTTATCTCGTGCTGGGGGAAACGCAGAGTGGAAAGGGTTAATGGCGAACAGAGCATTTACAACAAATCACATGATACAGAAAAAGAGAGCACGTTAACAGGAAACCTAACATTAGTGTGTGTAGACTTTGGTAGTAAGTTAACTTAGGATAACTTTGTAAGCTTCAGACAGTCACGTATCTTTGCAGCGGCCAACATCTCTGTTACTCCTGTCGCAATCTCGCCCCGCTCTCCGTCCCGCCGCACAAAGCCGACTTTCTCGAGTGTCGCCGGGCGGGCGGTGTGTTTGATCCTCGGCTCGTCCGCTGTCTGGCACGGCACGCAGTCCCGCACCCACCCGCACCCCGGCACCCCGGCACGGTGTGGGTGCGGGTCAGACCCCCAGGGAGGGGCAGGGGGTAGGTCTAACACCACAGAGACGCTCTGCCCACTGCAGTGCATTCCACACCCGGGCTTAGCACCGCGGCTCAACATTCAGCCGCCTCACCCACACAGAGGCAGAGGCAGAGTTCAAAGGCGGGTTACCGACGTACTGTGGGGTTACTAACAGATCACACGGCGGAATATGTGCTCCCGGGAAACCAGATTCAGGGCAAAATGCCCACCGTTATCTTCTTCGAAATAAAAAATCGTCGCTCTTAAAACAAAACACCGTACCTTACATTCAGACTGGTCGAATTAAATGATCTGTAATGTAACTCACAAACGTATGACTGAAAATGCCCAACTCAAAACGGCCAATTATTCCAACACCAAGGCATCCAATTATATTACCAGAGGACCAAATACATCACCCTTTACTCACATCCAGCTCCCAGAGAATGGCGCCGGTCCTCCATCCGTGGTGGAGTCGCACGTCGGCCAGATCCGTGTAGGGGTGGTCGCCGAAATACAGCACGTTCCCGCCGGCCCAGCCGGTCAGCTGCTGCAGCTGACGCACGTTACCCTGGCAACGGGAGACAGCGTCAGTCAGTTACCATGGTGATAGAGGAACAGACGGCGCCTGAGCAACGGTCAGAGAAATGGAATTGCGAATGGGAGGCGAACTCAACGCACTACCATAGGTGATACAGATGAGGGCAGATGAGGTGCGTTTCGTTGGCAGCAGAGATCAAAAGTTAACTTGGTTATAGAAGCACCAGTGACTGTAGCGACAGAAAGCTGATACAATACAATGTATTCATTATCTTTGGGAGGAATGTGATGTGAGCAATGAGTATATACAAGCATAAAGCCTAAAATCAGCGCCTTAAACGACAAAACTCCACACCGGCGCGGTTCCTACCTCACAGTAAACTTCTCCCTTTTCAATCTTGGTAACCTGGCTCCAAGTCTTCGACTTTGTCTCCAGATCATATCGCCTTAGCGGAGACGACCACTGGGTGAAAAACTTTGGTTTCTTTGCCTCGACAATCACAAGATCAAAGCGATCCCTCCAATCATCCCCGACCAGAAAATTCATGCCTCGATTTCTGTAACAAAACACACACAAAAACCATGTGTGAAAAAGGACGCCACACAAAACACGCGCTTCACAAGTGGGACCGGAAGCCTATTCAAAGGGCGGCGAGTGACCGAGCACGACTGCCCAGCAGGGGTGGCCGTTTGATAGGCATAGAGAGTATGCATTCCGCGCGTGCCGGGCATAGCGGGCGCGCCTCGAGTGGCGGCTGGTTCGAACGGAGGCGGGCCGGCCATCATAAAGGGCCTTTGGTGATGCGCCGGCCGGCCATCCGTCTGTATTAGAAGCGACGAGTGAGGTGCCCGCGCCACATGAGGCATTTCCTGTCACACGGCGGCGGCGCGACGGAAAATAGCTCCGGTAGTTACACTATGCGCCGGTAGGTGGCAGCGCCGGCACACGCACACAGGTATCAATGGCCCATTCATCGACAAACAGCGATCAAACACACTGTTCGATTCTTTGCTTGGATTTATGCAAACAACTACAGTGTAACACACGTTATCCTCCTTCACTATTCAGCGGTTTAAATAGGGATGATTTGGGTACAATCAATTCGAGGGAAAATAATAACCACAACAGTTCGAAACATCAACGAGACTGAAGGGGTCTGTCTCCCTACCCCTCCCCCACAGACTCACACAAAGTCGAACGGGCTATTGGTGACGAGGAGCAGCCTCATGCCGTGCTGCACCAGTCACCAGTCCCCTCCCCCTCCCTCCCGACTCACACAAAGTCGAACGGGCTGTTGGTGACGAGGAACAGCCTCCTGCCATGCTGCACCAGTCGGTCCAGGTAGCGCACCAGGTCGGGACTCTCCTCCATATAGTAGGCCGGGTCGCGGCCGACAATGCCGTGCATCAGGGGGTGGATGCTGCCAATGGCGTTCTGGTGGGACAGAGGGGAGGGGGCACGGGTCAGTTGGTGGGTGGTTAGGTCAGATGGTAGGTCAGGAATGGGTTTTTAAAAAGGGTAATTCAGACATGATTTGTGTCCTTTCTTTGACATTAGTTGTCGGACTTTCGTCCCCGTCTTGAGTTGAGCTGTTAGTTTCACAACGTTTCGGCCAGTTACTTCTCCGGCCGTCGTCAGGTGTTCAAGTCCGACAACTAATATCAGTGTTACTAACACCTCGTCTCAAGCATTCCGAAGAATTATGTCCTTTCTTTATCGTGAAAAAGCATTTGCGGACGTAAGGGACAGTCGTTGACAAAAGTAGGGAAGGTTTGATAGAAAAAACGAGCAGATAAGGCAAATAAGCGAACAATTGAAAAAAAAACAGCGATCAATCGAAGCTACACATGTTTTCAATCTTACATTTTCATGCACTTTCTCTATTCCAAGACAACTTCACTTATAGCGACCACTTACCCTGACGTCACGATCTGATATCACTTACCCTGACGTCAGTGAAGAGGACGGCCGGCTGGAAGTCGATATTCTGCTGGATGAAGAGGTCGGTGACCTGGCACATGAGACACATCTCGGGCAGCGAGAACAGGTCGGCCAGCTGAACCATCCGCGCCTCCTGCCGTCAGAGGGGACAAAGAGGGTCAAAGAGAGGTCAGGGAGAGGTCAGCTAGAGTAGAGGGGTCCACAGAGGGGTCAGGAAGGGATACCAGTATGAATATCAAGTAGTATATTGTGGCCAGGAGAGGGTCGACTGTATGATACATTCAGACCTCATGCGGCTCGCCAAAGGATTTCAGAATGCCAAGTGAATGTATTTGATCTTGACCTCAGACTGAACGGAATCCAATTCTATCACTAAATGTGACTGAATTTCCTGACTTTTTATCCTCCGTTTCTTCGCACTGAATCGAGCTATTTCTTTTCAAGACGCACGAAAAACGACAACACTCGCGAAAAAGTGGATAATTGATCTTGGGCATTCCGTCTTGGGTTCCGGCAAAAAAATGAATTGCCTTCTTGAACCGCTTCATTGATTCTGTCCTATCATCAGCAATCTGTTTGCGACGCCTAGTAACAATCGAACAATTACGAATTATTTATTCGATTGTCCGCCACGGGTTCATTACTCGGTCGAAAATTATAGCGATATACTATTCCAACTCAAACACAGCATTTCTTAGGGATTCTTCCCTCGTCGGTGGAATGACTAAGGACTGCGAGTGGCCCACCGCAGAGACGCGCCGGCCGGCCGGCCGGCTACTACACTGTGCGCACTGCACCATCAGAGGGGTGAGGGTTTCCAGAGCTGTGGTCATCGGGTCGGTAAAAGGGTGGTAAAGCCAAGGGCGGTATCAGGCGGTATCAGCGCAGTATAGTGGCGGTAGGAGGGCGGTAACAGGGCGGTACGAGGGCGGTAAGAGGGCGGTATAGATCGGCATCGAGGCGGTATCAGCACGGTATAGGGGCGGTAGTTGTAGTGTGAGAGTTGAGTTTTGGAGGCTGTCGCCTCGGCGCCGCGGGGAGCGTCGGCCGGCCGCCGTCTGCCCCGTCCCCTCCGGTGTGGACGGAGGGGCACATCTGGCGTCGGAGCGGTCCCGGCGGCCGTTCGCCCCAGTTTCGGGGCCATGCCGGCGCGTCGGACGGGACAGAGGGAGAGTCGTGTCCGAGCCATGGGACCGCACGGTGGTGTGTGAGGGTGAGCGAGAAATACAAAGAAATTTGGCAAAGACTACCTTTTACAAGCTATTTCGGCAACATGCCTGAAGAGAGCGATGGTGCAGTGACGCGGCAGTGATCGGCACCGCTTGCAACGACTTGCAACGGAGCTGTCGAGGCAGTGAGAAGCAGGGGTCGCCCAGGAGCCGTGGCGTCTGCCGTGGACCCCGCCCGTCACCTCGTCTGTCCCGGTGGCTGCTGCTGGACTGGCCCATATACAGCCGGCCGGGAGGATCGGCAGATACGGCGAGGTGGACTGCGACCGGCAGAAGAACCTAGTGCCGCTGGACTAACTGGACACTGAGCGGCTGGGCCGCTCTGTGCAATGCTCTGGCGAGTGATGCTCGCAGTGAGGGTGCTGGCGAGTGATGCTCGCAGTGAGGGTGATGGCGAGTGATGCTCGCAGTGAGGGTGCTGGCGAGTGATGCTCGCAGTGAGTGCGCTGGCGAGTGATGCTCGCAGTGAGTGCGCTGGCGAGTGATGCTCGCAGCGGTGAAGGTGACAGCCAGTGGGGCTGTGGAGGAGCGGCAGCCGGTGGGGCTGTGGGAGTATGTAGATTCTGTATTCCTCAGCGCGCACCCTCACACCGTCAGTCCATCTCGCTCACTGACTCACCGCCTGCCCGGACACAGCTTGGCCCCGGCGGCAGCGACCTGACACCGCCTGAGCGAAGTCCATCCGACTCGCATCGCGGAAAGCATCACTTAGCATCGAAAAGCATCACTGAAACTACACTCCACCCTTGATCTCAAAGGATCAACCCATCGATTGGAAATACTGGGCCTGTCTACGTTCCCGCTCGCTTCTACGTGGAATCTGTCGCTCCTCCTCGCCCACAATCTCAGCTGACTCTCCCTCCACGACTTCCGGCCCACTGTTCCCCTCTGAGCCCGCATCATTCACCACCGGCACGGTAATGACCAGACTCTCACCGTCCCTCTCTCCCTCACTGTCGCCCTCACTAACGGGCCCCTCCTCGACGGCGGCATTCCGTCGGCGTAAATTTCTCACGTGCCACGGCACTCCATCGACTTCTACGACCTGCTCAGAAACGACATCAGACACCGTGCCGGGACGCGACGCATCAACACACCGAGTTCCCCGACGACGTACCCAGACAGGGTCGCCAACACGATACGCGGCTGCCTCACTGTTCACTGGTACGGGGTTGGGCGCCGGCGGTGCAGCAGCGGGCCGCACATTGTCCCTCACATTGTACCGGAACACGACACTCGCGGGTGCAGATCCACCCTCGCGCGGCGTTACATTGTACAGGTGGACTGCCTCGGCCACCGAGCATTGTTTTCGCGCAGCAATGACCTTGATCGTGCGATGGTTCCGCTCAACTATCGAATTGCCAGCCGGCTCATGAACCGCCCTAAATCGAAGACGCACGCCCCACCTCGCTGCAAAAGCCGCAAAACTCCGACTGCGAAAGATGGTGTCATTATCACAAAGCAGCTCCTCAGGTGCCCCGCGCTCGAAGAAGATCTGTTCGAGCTGAGCGATCGTGACATCAGCGTCCGGACGACTCAGGTGTCGCCACAGACAGAATCGCGAGGGTCCACAGTCCACAACCGAGAGAAACGACTGGCCCCGGTAGTGCGTTACATCAATTGCCAGTCGCTTCCATACGTCAGACACTTCCAACGAGCCATGCCTCCACTTCATTGGCGCCGGATCGATTGAGCGGCATGCGTCACACTGGCTCACCACATTTTGCACTTGAGCTCGCGTCACGTCCTTTGAAATGTCACGCCGTGCAAAGTACAGTGTCCGACGAACCCCGGGATGTCCGGCGCGGTCATGCACTCCTGCGATGGCCTCCGCAATATCAGCAGAGCCTCCTGGTGCAAGCTGATCCTCCGTCCGGTCCTCTGCCGCGCCGGCCGAGTCTCCCCGCGGCGTCATCCGATCCACATCAGCGCTGCTACCACCTGCAGCTGCGACTTGATCGCCTCCTCTCAGTACTGCCGAACCCGATGAATCGTCATCAGTGTTAGGCAATGCCAGCCCATTGGCCGCAGCCTCGCAGCCGGCCATTGTCTCAGTAGCTGCAGGCGATGACTCATCACGCACCCAGTCTTTCGGCACTCGGGTCAGCTCGTCTGCTCGATTCGCTGCGCTCCGCACTAGAGTTACAGACAGCGACAGCTCGAGCTCATCCACCAGCTGTCGAATCATGTCGACCCTGCGTCTGATCAACATCTCTCCGTGTGCCTTGGTGCGCAGCCGAGTGCGGCCGCTCAATGCATCGTTGATCCAACGGTGCACTGTGACCGAGTCCGTGCGCAGATCGATAACACGCATGTCCCAAGCGACAGCCACGTTGATGCCTCTCACGGCCGCATTTAGCTCCGCAACATTTATGTGTGTGGATTCATCCTTCCTCAGCCAGCATCCATCTTCAATGACGTCGCCGTCAGGTGACTCCACCACCACGCCCGCTGCTACGGAGCTCGCATCCACCCAAACCACAGCGCGGTCGCTCCGCACGCTCCACAGACCGTGTGCCGGATCGTGACTGGCTACCCGAGCCGCGACATGACTAATCTGCTTCTGCAGAACTCCGTCGTAGGTGATGTCATCCCATCCTTGTGTGACGTCATTCACGCGTCGTTTCAACCAGGCCACGGCAGGGCGGAGCCAACCACACACGGGCATGTGAGCGATCAGGCGTCCGCACCACGAGAACACACCACGGCGCGTGAGCACAGCCGGTGGTGGTCCGACTGGGTTGTCTCTGCTCCACACCAGCCTGCCAAGCTCCCGTGAGACTCGCAGACCGAGCAGACGCGCACCGCCTGCCGCCCGCTCTGGAGGCTTGCACTCGAGACCAAAGTTCGCCAGATGAGCCACCACTCGCTCCGCGCTAACAATGTCCTCGTTCACCAGCAGATCGTCCACGTACGGAAGCACTGCCCGGTTTACGTCCGCGTCACGTTCCAGAACCGTCCGAATCACCGCCTTCATGACGAGCGGAGCCACACACAATCCATAACCGAGCCGTGTCAAACAATGTCTCTGGTTTTCGATCATCACCGTCTGAAACGGCCACAGCTGGCGGTCAACCTGAATCTGCAAATACGCGTGACGTAGATCTACGACCGCAACGTTTTCGCCATGTCGTCGCCACTTCCTCAGTTGGTCCGCACAGACGTCTGCGTCAGCTGTGTGAGCTGTCAAGTAGTTGTTCAGTTCACGATAGTCAAGCACAGGTCTCACTTTCGATTTGTTCTTTTGTTGGACTGCCATTAAAGGCACCAGACCCTTTGGTGGGCCAAGCTCTGACTCGTTGTAGGGAATAAGCCAGCCCTGCTCCACCCAACGTTTGAGTTCATCGTCAAATTCACGGCGAGCGTCACACGGCACCCTGTACTGTGCGACAGTGTTCTGCAAGCACTCCGGCTCTGCTCCGTCAGTCCACTTCCATTTCATTCTCCACGCCTTAGATGTCGGATCAAAGTACACGGCATAATCTGGTGCATCCACAACTGGTGCCCGGTCCGGGTGCAGGTCGGTCGGTGTCGGTTCGGGTTGCGCCGCCGTCTCATTGCAGCCCGGATGCAGCGATGAGGCTGCTCCATCCGAGACGCCACTGGCAGCCGCTGCAACTGGAGCGGCCGGCACAGCTGAGTCCACTCCAAAGTTCACTTCACTGGATGCACTAACGAACACGCCCTGCAGAGCAGTCACACCGTTCATTCCCAGAATGAATGAAAAGTTCAAAGGCTTTCTAGCAGACACCAGCACTTCCAACTCAACTCGAGCACCAAACATGGTCTGCACTGACACGTAACCTCTGCCTTCGCATGCGTATCGTTCTCCACTCAGTGTCACAACGTTGATTCGCTCCGCAGACCAGCGGCGGCAAACGGAGGAGTGCGCGACGCTCACGGTGCATCCGGTATCCACGAGGGCTCGACACATCACTCCGTCCACCGACAGGCGCGTGGTCGGCAGAGCGCCACTCACTGGTGAGCCGGAGAGGAGGCTGGCGCTGAGGCCACCTCTCCGCCGCCGTTTTCCGGGCAGGTAGCTGCCACGTGGCCGGGTCGGCTGCACCGGAAACAGAGCCTGTTTCCGCCCAAACCACCTCGACGTCCACGGCCACCTCGACCACGAAGACAATCGCGGGCCAAGTGGTTGGGCTGTCCGCACGCATAGCAAACGGTGGCTTCCTGACGGCGCGGACCGCGGTGGTCTGCCGCTGCAGCTACCCCCAGAACGCTATCTCGACAGAGGATAGCACGGGCCCGGTCCGCCATCTCCGACAGAGTCAGGGACTCCATGCGGGCGCCTGTCTGGAGAGCGTGCCGCACGGACTCGGGCAGTCCTGCCACAAATGCGCAGCTCAATCCCTCTTCGTTAATGCCTCCGAAGATCGACGACAGTCTTTGTAGGTCCGCCAGAAACACATCGACGGACTCGTCGACCCGCAGCTGGCGATCTCGGAACTCTTCGTAGGCTTTGAACTTGTCGACTGCAAACGCACGCTGCAAAGCCGCCTTCACTTTCCCTGCGTCCGCCTTGTCGGCTTCACTCAGTTGGCGATAAACAGCCGAGGCACCCCCTGTCAGTCTCAACGGCACCACCACGGCCAAGTCCACTGCCGGTTTTTGCAGGCCACACACCAGTTCCACCTTCTCATACCAACACGAAAAGTCACTAGTGCCATCATACTCCGGGATAAGTTTCAAGTCGAAGTTCGCCATGATGGCCGAAATAGCTTGTAGATTCTGTATTCCTCAGCGCGCACCCTCACACCGTCAGTCCATCTCGCTCACTGACTCACCGCCTGCCCGGACACAGCTTGGCCCCGGCGGCAGCGACCTGACACCGCCTGAGCGAAGTCCATCCGACTCGCATCGCGGAAAGCATCACTTAGCATCGAAAAGCATCACTGAAACTACAGAGTAACAGCCGGTGGGGCTGTGGGAGTAACAGCCGGTGGGGCTGTGGGATTGGCAGCCGGTGGAGCTGTGGAAGTGACAGCCGGTGTGGCTGTGGAAGTGACAGCCGGTGGGGCTGTGGGAGTGGCAGCCGGTGGGCTGTGGAGGTGGTGGCAGTTGCCGGGACTGCACTGAAAATTACACAGGAGGGCCGTGTGGTGGCAGTTGCCGGGACTGCACTGAAAATTCCACAGGAGGGCCGTGTGGTGGCAGTCGCCGGCACTGCACTGGAAATTCCACAGTGTGGTGGCAGTCGCCAGCACTGCAATGGAAATTCCACAGGAGGGCCGTGTGGTGGCAGTCGCCGGCACTGCACTGGAAATTCCACAGGAGCCGTGTGGTGGCAGTCGCCGGCACTGCACTAGAAATTCCACAGGAGGGCCGTGTGGTGGCAGTGACCGGGACTTTATAGAATAAGTGTCTGATTGTTTGTGAGCTCGTGGTCTTTGTGTGCATTTGATTTAAGGTGACCAATTAATTTTGTGTGCACCTTTGATGGACAGGAGAGGGCAAGTGGTTGAATGAGAGAGCTGGTAGTTTCGTGGCATCTGTGGTCCGTGTGTGCATTTGATTTAAGGTGACCAATTGATTTTGTGTGTGCCGTTGATGGACAGGAGAGGGCAAGTGGTTGAATGAGAGAGCTGGTAGTTTCGTGGCATCTGTGGTCCGTGACACAATTGGTGAGCCTGGCCAAGCGCATTTCTTCATGCCGGGCGCTGCATGCCGGGCGCTGCACGTAAAAAAGATTCTTAAATGATTGGGGAAGGTTCGTGGACATTGTGCGTGCTGATTAGGAGCGTTTAAGAGAATGTCTTAGGATTGCTTGGCTGGTTGTGTGCGTGTTTGTGTTAAAATTTCAGTGGTTGATTCTTGAGAATCAGGGGAAGGTGTAGTGTGAGAGTTGAGTTTTGGAGGCTGTCGCCTCGGCGCCGCGGGGAGCGTCGGCCGGCCGCCGTCTGCCCCGTCCCCTCCGGTGTGGACGGAGGGGCACATCTGGCGTCGGAGCGGTCCCGGCGGCCGTTCGCCCCAGTTTCGGGGCCATGCCGGCGCGTCGGACGGGACAGAGGGAGAGTCGTGTCCGAGCCATGGGACCGCACGGTGGTGTGTGAGGGTGAGCGAGAAATACAAAGAAATTTGGCAAAGACTACCTTTTACAGTAGTAGAGCGGTAAGAGGGCGGTAGTAGTCAGTAGAGCGGTGAACGAAGGACAGAGTATGTAGGGTACGACTACGGACGGCCGTTACAGGGCGACAACGGGGTAGTCATGGGACGAAGTTGGGGCAGTGACAGAAAGGGTTAAGTGGGGCGGTTATCAGAGAGGATCGCCCGCCTTTAAATTAGCGTCGGTGACCACCGTGGCCGCACCTCCTCCTCCCCCGGTGACAGATAAGCCCATCCGACCACCCCAACGGCTGACGTTCTCTGCCCCTCCCCTAGTCCCTGGCCCACCCATCCCGCCCGCCGACCGGCCGGTCGGCAGTCCCCTGCAGGGGACGGGGTGGGCGGTCCTCCCACTGTGGCCGCCCACCCGGTAGGACCGCACTCGACCACCCGTGTCCACACATTGTCCTTGACATCCAATTCAGCATGCGGTCGCGTTAGGTCTTGCAGTGCACTGACGCAACTCACCATGTCTTGTCGATCCTGGCAAGCCGCAAGGTGGAATGAAGGAAGGCAAAGATCAAGATCTGTCAATAACATAAATTCACCCCTCCACTTTCTGAGGGGAGGCTAATGTTATTGGAAACTAACGTCAGTTCCTCATCATTATCCAGTTGAAGCGGGATACATCGGCAAACTACACAGCAGGTCACAGACGGCCCCAGTGCAGTACGTGAGACCTCGTATCTCCTGGCTGCCGACAGGAGTGAGGGGAGAGAAGGGGGAGGGGAGAGGAGAGAGGAGGGGAGGGAGTGGTGACGGAGAGATAATAGGGGAGGGGCGGTGCAAAGTCCCATGGACCAATCACGTTCGACGGTGGGAGTAAAATGGCGCCCCGGCCCGGCGGAGGGACATGAGAGGTCCGTCGGGGGAGGGGCGCCGACGAGACGAGGGGAGTAGGGGATGGCGGGAGGACGGAGAGAGGATGGAGAGAAGACGGGATGGAAAGAAACCAGCATAATGCAGTTGGTCGATGGGGATAGAGCAGAGGGGAAAGAGTGTTGACACCAATGACTGCTTACTTAACTAGAACTTTAACCTTACACACCCAATAAGCGCTCAAGCGGTAGAACAAGAGCAGCAGGGAAGATGTCTTCGTCGCCAAGTGACTTCACGAATGCTTATAAAACCAAACAATTTTAAAGACTACTCACTACCGAAAGTCGCGTCACCCTTCATCTTCCACTGCATCCATCAATCCACGGCGTCCATCGTATAGCTATTTAGTCAAACTCCACATACCGTGACCGTCCCCGTGTAGCCGGCCAGGTCACTCCAGTAGACCCGGCCAGGTCACTCCAGTAGACCCGGTCAGGTCACTCCAGTAGACCCGGCCAGGTCACTCCAGTAGACCCGGCCAGGTCACTCACCGGTCGACCTGACCCGTTCAGGTCAGGTCAGGTCACGCACAGGTCAGGTCAGGTCACTCACTAGTCGGCCCAGTCAGGTCACTCACAGGTCGATCCGACCCGGTCTGTCAGGTCAAGTTAGGTCACTCACAGGTCGACCCGACCCAGTCAGGCCAGGTCACTCACAGGTCGATCCGACCCGGTCAGGTCAGGTCAGGGTCACTCACCGGTCTGCCCGGCGGCGGCTCGATGTAGTTGATGGGAAGCACCGTCGAGCCGTACAGCTCCATGACCTCTGCATCGGACACCTTGGACAGACCCCTGTCGGACAGAGAGGAACAAACAATCAGGCACTGCACTGGGCACCAATCACATCTCAATGATGGAAGGGTATACTATCAGAACGGTCACCAATGCTCAGGATATGCCGTGTCCTGCTTGATTGCTTTAACAAATTAAGTTAAAACAATCATATTTGTCTTGTATATTTCTCATGAACTCGCCGATCGTGGGAGGGGGCCTCTAACATGTCAGCCTCTACCACGGCCCAGTCCGGGGCGCATTCGTAAGTTCGTTTGCCAGGAAACCGGCCGCGTCTCAATAAGGTCTCGTAAGTCAGTTCTCGGTCAAGTTAGAATGCCTAATTTGCTAGAACTACCGATAGCTATGGTTTGGTTTCAACATTCAACCCCTACTACCTAATCAATAATCATGTAACCAATGCAGGTACTTGTAAAGCGAAATAATGGATTTCATCCGTCTCTTCGTGCATCAACTAGGCAAAATGAGATCAAAGGCGAAAAAGCGCCGAAAACGTTATTTCAAACGACCTATCGACACTTAATTCAGTGTACGTAGTCGATCGTAAGGCAGAGCGATCACATAAAAAAACCCACCCAGCAGAATCGTTCGATCGACACGTTACCAATCCATTAGCAGCCGTGGAAAGCTTCACCAAACAGACTTAGAAGCCAACACAGCATGGCGATGACATTCGCGTATTGGCTGCTGACCACCCCATGTGTTCAATCAACACCCGACGCCGGTCTCCCGTCGATCGACAAAAGCAGCGACTCATCATAGACGGGAGTAGCGACGCTGCACCCACAAAAGGTCATAGACGTAGTCCGCAAACACGAAGAACCGTGAGGGCATTCAAACATGTTATTGTTGCGGAACATGTCAACAGAAAGACCGGCAATATCGACGGAAAGACAGTGGCAATGGGGTCTCTCTTGTAGACAGTGGATGGTGCGTGAAGCTCGTCCAAGGTCTGTTGACAGTCAGTGCATACGTTAGCGGCCTGTTGAGTCAACACCAGACAGTACCGATGGTGTTTGCCGTCCGTCGCCCCAGAGGCCCGCCCCGGTGCGGGCGGGCCGTCCGGACCAGTCCTCTGCCCCGGACAGTCTGACGTCCCTGCCACTCTCCGCCACCACCATGGTCGTCTCGCCGAGCGGCGGTGTTGTGGTGCACCGCACCGTCATCTCCGGCGGTTCGCCCGATGAGCTGATGCCGCCGCCGCAGCGGGCTGGTGCCGCCTGGCCGTGGTCCGGTCCGGCGCGGGCCTTCCTGTCGCTGCTGCGGGCCGCCGGCGCCTCGGGCCGCTCCGGCTGGTGCCCCACTCTGTACGCCACCCTCGTCTACGTCGTGTTCAGCGTGGCGTCCTTCCTGGCCGTCCGCACACACATTCAGCATGGTGCGGCTGTTCGGGAGCAGACGGGCAGTCTTCTGACGGCCGCCGTCGACTCGGGGTTCTTTGGCGTGATGCCGGTGCTGGCCTGGGCCACGGTGACGGCCACGTTTGTGCGCGGCCGCCCCCGGTACGGCCGGCTGATCGCCCGCCTGACGGGGGTACTCACCGACACCGAGCGGCTGCTGCCGAGCGGCGGCCGCGCAGGACCCGACCTGCCCGCCTGGGGAGCCTGGTTCGTGGCCATTGTCTACACGGCAGCCATCATCATCATCGGTATCCTGACCTTTCCGTGGCCGTGTCATACACTGAACTTCGGCTGCATGCTGATGGTGGCGATGATGTTTATCATCACCCTGACGCTCCTGGCCTTCATTCTGGTGCCGCTTAAGTTTGTGTTCGCCTGTCAGAAGATCGCCGCCGGCCTGCAGAAGATCGAGGAGTCTCTCTCCGCCCTGCTCTCAGGCCGGGAGGCCGACCTTCGGCACCTGGAGCGGCTGGGCCAGCTGCAGACGCGGCTCTCCGAGTGTCTCCAGCAGCTGACTGAGGACATGGCTCCCGAGCTGCTGCTGGCCACCACGTACGCCGTGCTCTCCCATATCACCGTGATGCTGATGCTGCTGCGCTACGTCAGCCCCGAGATGCGGCACTACAACGGTGTCATCAACTGCGTGCTGATGCTGTTCACCAACGTGACGACTCTGGCGGGTCCGTGCGAGGCCAGCCAGCAGCTGGTGTCGGCCGCCGGCCGGCGCTGGGCGCTGCTGCTGAGTCTGGAGCGCCGCCACCCAGCGCTGGCCGCCGAGGCCGGTCTGCAGCGCGAGGAGGCCGGCCGCCAGCTGGAGACAATCGGCGAGCTGGGCCTGTTCCGACTGCGCCGCTCCACCCTGCTCAGCCTCGTCTCCACCGTGCTCACCTACATCATCGTGGTGGCGCAGTTCCAGTCGGCCGAGATCCCCACGGCCTCCGCCGCCGCCAACAGCACCGCGAGCCGGGGGTTGGGGCAGACGGGACAGCCGGAGGTAGGGGCAGCCAGGCGCCGGGACCGACCCTCCAACACTCGACGGCACTAAAAGCACTGACGGGCAGCAGGCGCCGGAACCGACCACAGCACTGCAGTCCGGGGTTAGGCCGTAGGGACAGCAGGCGCCGGAACCCACCACAGCACTGCAGTCCGGGGTTAGGCCGTAGGGGCAGCGGGCGCCGGAACTCACCGGGACTGTTGAGCCAGGATCGACTCGCCGCCTGCAGCCCAGAGCGGCATTGAGCGGAAGATATGCCTATGATATTATGATTGCGCTGTTTTGTTATCCGATCCGTGCTCCTACCTACCAATCAAAAAATTTGGCTCACTTTTACCTACTTAGTTACCTACTACTTATAACTGCATAGGTTTTGTTATCTCGTAGGTATGGTTGCTTTCTTGATTTTTCCATGAAGAACACAGAAGCCTAGAGCCCAGCTGTGTATCTTGAACAGGGTTACTTTTACAGGAAAAGTTGAGAGGGGGAATAAAGTTCGGGGCAAGGGCGGATCCAGGGGCATCTGAAAGGGGGGCCCAATGCCATTAGGTTTTTGTTAGGATGGCGCCTGCAGAACCTTACCTACTCCCAAATCCTACTCTCTCCCCGGAATCTAGCCACTTTATATTGTTAGGTTGCAAAAAAATAGCTAAAAACTATACGTAGGTACAGCCCTCTGCACACTGCGTGGTAGGTATTCTTTTTCCGACAAAACTTAAAATATCTCAAAGACTATATTATCAGTCGGTCGGAACTCATTGCACATAGATGCGCCAATGCTCCACTCCTTCGATTGGGTGCCTCACTGAACAACGTATACGTCTAGTGTGGCAGCAAAATGCAAAAGTTTGTTTCGGGGACAAATATAAACTTCTGTGTGTTGTTGCTAAACTGGATGGAAAATGTATACTATGATATGCCCAATCTAAGGTGCGGAGTCTCGCGCGTCTTGCTGTTACGATTTCCGAGTGACAGATAACATAGTTTTCGAGTTATTTTCAGTTTTGTCAAAAAAAGAATGCCTACCACGCAGTGTGCAGAGGGCTGTACGTACCTACCATGGCGGTAAGGGGCGGGGGAGGTCCCAACTGGACTGCGCCCTTGCAAATGTCATTCAGTAGTATCCAGGGTTACTTTTACAGGAAAAGTTGAGAGGGGAAATAAAGTTCGGGACAAGGGCGGATCCACGGGCATCTGAAAGGGAGGTGGGCGGCAATGCCATTAGGTTTTTCGTTAGGATGGAACCCGCAGAACCTTACCTACCCCCAAATCCTATTCTTTCCCCGGATTTCAGCCACTTTAGTTTGGAAGGTTGCCAAAAAATAATTTTGCTAAAAAATATACGCACCTACCTTGGCTGTAAGGGGCGGGGAGGTCCCAACTTGACTGGGCCCTTGCAAATGCCAATCAGTAGTATCAACCTATCAGTAGTATCAATAAGTAGTATACCCCGGCCAAACATTAAGTAACGCCTTGCTAAAGAGAGAGGTTAACCCGCGCCCTGATTGGAGGTCATTTTGGCCCCCATGTGGGGTTTCTTGAAAAGCGAAAACGGCGGCGCGCAGCGCCGCCAAATTTTTAGTACCTTACCGGGCATCAATTTGAAACCTTCACACAAAATTTCAAGTCTTAGGTCACCTTAGGTCAGGAGTAATTGATGTCAAACTGTTCGAGCAAAGATGAGCAAAAAACATGAAATTCTTAAACGCTCACAAAAGCTACAGTTAACGAGCAATTCCAAAGTTCTTTGTGTGGTCGTGTACCTATGTAGAGAAACGACGGCGCTACAAAACTGCAACCTCTACAACTACAAGGTGGGCAGTGATATCCGAACAAAAACTAATGAAGCACAAAACCTGAATTATTACGATCAGTATTGGTGAGCAGTGAAATTCCATTGGGAAAGCCGGCCGTGATGAGGTACCTACATTTTTTTTTTGCGCCCTCTGCATACAAAGCAGATGAACGTGAATGCTACATATAGAGAAAACAGTTATTTATTACTCAAAGCTTTGATGCCTGTGGGACAAAAATAACGTTGCTTTCCTCAATGATTCCGGATTGGAGGATGGTTCAACACAGCCATTGTCACATTGGGACAAAAATTTTAGATATCTGGCCTTGGCGTTGCTGAAAAAGTGAAAACAATCGTGAATAAATGGGTCGTTTCTGAGAAAGGACAATGATAAAGGGGGGGGGGGGTCCAAAAGGGGGTCACCTTCTTTTTTGCGTCAAAGGAGGGGCCATGGCACATTGCCCCCCCCCCCGTATCCGCCCTTGGTTCTGAGAGGTCATGACCCCCGTCCCCCGCCGGTTTCTACGCCGACGCCTGTACCGATATGTCAATGAGTGCGAATTGCGACAAGACAAGAGATCCACCGACCATCCGATCGGTTTCGGATCAAATCTGGAGTTCCCATTGCACTAAACGTAAAATGGTTGGATGGAACCTCAAATTGAAAATTATCTAAGCGCCAGCAACGTTGATTGATGACTAGAGTCTGATCAACGATGACATGGGTGTCGATTTGTATACTTTTGGGGGTGCTGCAGCACCCCCAATGCTCAAATGAGCACCCCCAATGGTTTTCCGGGCACCCCCAAAT